CCGGACGAGCTTGCCCCCGGACCCCCCAATGTGAGGTCCACACACCACCTATAAAAATAGCACTTTACCCCTGCTTACACCTCTATGCCGTGAGCTGATTATCGAGCCTTCATTGTAACAGTCGCGTGGACATAGTGTATATGCGTGGAGAGTGTTGCAGTAGAAAATTCCACTATAGCGACCGGTACATTAATGGGAAACCCTAAATGTTTGAGCACCCTCTATGAAAAGTCAAGCTACCCCACAGCACCCCCAAAATAAATCTCTGGCACCACCACTGAGCCTGACTTGTGTTGTGGGGGCCCGACTTTTTTTTTTCTGCAAAGGAGNGTGTCAGTGCAATCGTGGTTGGCCCAGTGGGCCAACAAATATATCAGGTTGGCCCATGGCCCCCCCACTGGCACCCCAACACAACACAGCCGCTCGCCAGTCACGTAATGCGTAGTAGTTTATCTGATATTTAACAACAAATACACAGCCAGCGAGTCGCTTGATTTGAGCTTCCAACGCTCATACTGCAGCCTCTCCCACTGCTACCATGGTAACACTCTGATACTCGCGCGCATCACTCTGAGATTCACGGGCGCAGACAGCAGCAGGTTGCAGCAAAACATGTGTTTCTTTCTACTGACTGGACTGGAGTTGACAAAAATCCACCAGACTTCTAGAAGGTAAGTCGTATACGTTCGTTGATTATAAAAAGGAGCTGTGGGAGTACTTATTCATAAATCACCCAACACATGTATACATAACACAAAACAAGATTCTTTTAAATGTTGTTTGAAGTTAAATGTTAACTATTCGCATTATATTCACTTCAAATGAACAGTATCAGAAAATGTGAAGTAAGAAACCAAAGTATATCAGTAGGTGATTCTCTTTGCCATTGTTTTCATCTAGTCTATACTTTCACAACAATTAAATTGTTGGTTTTGGTGCATAGCCGCGGGAAGTAGGGGTGCTGGGGGTGCTGCACCCCCTAGAATCTGCAGAATCACAGAACGAGCGGTCGCTCTGCTCGGTTCGCTCACTGCCGGCACCGCCCTTAATGTGATTTTAAACGGCATCATTGAAGTTGTGCTGACAGGCGACAGAGGAAAATTCGCCTCACCCCCTAAGTAAAATGACTTCCCGCGGCTATGTGCCACCCCAAGATTTTCACCCTTATGAAAAATGTCTGGAGGCGCCACTGCCTAAGGGCAGCAATTTCCAGTCTGTCTGTACATGCCATGGTGTGTGTGTGCGTGTGTCACATGTGCATGTTTGTTACTTCCCTTATCCCCTCCAGTTTTGGGGAAAGTAGTAGTCTGAAATATTAGACGTGCTCCATCTTGATGGATAAGCTTTTATCCACCATCAGGTTGACCTTTTATTTTATTTTTTAAAAATGTCTCATCAGCTGTTCAGTGTATTTCCATGGAGACTGGAACAGATATATTGTGGATGAATTCATCAAGATGAATTGAAATGTTTTTGATGATCCCCTGACTTTTCCACTAGTGATGCCATCAGTTCATAATGTCGATATGCGTAAAGACCAATACATTGATTATTTGCTACCTTTCTCAGCGCTCTCAAACAACTTTTAAGGGTTTGCTTTTTCTTTTAACTGATATCCTCTCCTTCATCTTCTGATATCTCACTTACTTGGCATCTTAAGCCTACCTGGTGCAATTTTCTTTCATTATTTGGAGGTTCCCATTGTGTACTCTCACTCTCATTTGTCTTGAGGATTCTGCCAGTGATGTTTTCTTTTGTTATCCCTGCTCTATGGTGGTTTGCTTCCCACATTCCTGTGTTTCTGTGTTATGGGAAGTCATCAACTACAAACTACTTTACCTTCAAGGCACTGGGACACCACTCTCATTTCTTCTTTGCCTTTGTAGAGGTCCTATGTCTCTCTTAATCCTTCACATTCCCACCCAGACAAAGGTTTGATCATATCATCCTATAGTACATTTTACCAAGAAACAGAAACATACCACTAAATAATTGAATTGACTCACCAGTAGTAGAGGAGCAGTCTGCAGTGAGTGTCTGTCAGGGCCGTTTGTAATCATAATGTATTTACTCAGATGGCACAAACAAGTGTGTACATCTGTTGGCTCTGACTGCTGTCATGTTGACCGGGGAGTGCCAGGGAGGACGGTGACAGACTGGAGTGACACCTGCTGTAATCTCTTCTTCCATCTCACACCTCTTCTCAACCCAATTTCTCACATTTTGACAGTCTCACAGCTAAATAGCATGATAGGGAAGCACGCTGCATCACATTTTCTCCTTTTATTGAGTTACTTAATGTTACGTTTTTCTCCTCTCCAACTGGGGTTGTCTCTTTTATGCTATTGGTGCTGCTACTAGGATTGCCATGGAAATGTGGTAAGATACTGTACAGAACAATATCTTGCGTACATTATATCTTATCAGTTATTGTTTATGTCTAATTGTATAATGAACAGTCTATGCCAGACAGGGAAAGCTGGAACATGTGTGGTTTCACAGCCTCACAGGGCTGTTAGCCTCGCTGTAGACCCTTAGTCTTATTGATAACCTGCCGATATGAATTAATAGGACTATTTTGATACATGGATTCTACCAGCATTGTGATTCTTGTTGGTTTGTTAGTCAACACCTATTTTTTAAATATTTATATTTGGAAACTATTTGTACCCATTTCCCTGGTCCAGTTGTTCTTTCATCTTGTTTGATCGCAGTGTAGTTTAACTTTCAAGTACATTTCAGCATAATGCGCTTCCTTGTGTATCTGAGCAAGTAACACATAGACTCCAAATTAAGAACAAGCCCAAGGCTCTGTCTCACACCCAAGAACGCTTTCTATTTTGGTCAAATGTTTTAGTAGAAAGTCACACTGTATGAGCTGTAATATTCACAGCTCAGGTAAGCTGAGCTTTCAACAACACAGTGTCAAAAAACAAACAAACAAAAACTGTTGTTGTTGTTGTGTTGCCAAATATACAGATGAGAAAATGAATCAGGTTGAGTTAGATAACACCAAAAAGTGAAAGCAATCTTTGCCCCACTCTCTCAATGAATAATTATTGCATTGCTACATGTTACATACCTATGTATTTTATCTAGAATGTGCCCTCTCTTATATTTGACTAGCAAAGTGACTTTGCAATGGTCAAATGTATGCCTACTTTGTTTTTCACAACAAGGCCATCATAACACAGATGTTCGAGCAGTCTTTGGAGAACATTACAAGTTTAAATATTCTCAACTATTCAGCGCTAGGTGTGCTAACCACTACTTTTAAATGTCACACTTCAATCATATTACGAAAGAGGTGTGTTTATTATTATTAATTATTATTAGAGACCCAAATAAAGAAGTGTTAGCCTTTGAGCCACAGCCTTTTCATTGCTGCCGTCTGTTTTGCAGCAGATGTGTTACATTACCTGGGAAACTATTAATCTTCCCACTGTGGTCATTAATACAAAAACATAAAAAATGTGTCACACACAGCAGCTTGGAACCTACACACTTTGAAAAAATGGCACATGTGCCCCTCTTGTGTGTACCCGGTGGCATGTCTCCTGCCTAAATCTGGCTAGAGTGCCGTGGCTGGGTATCATTATGCTCCCACGGTGCTTTTTGTCCCTAATTGTATCCTGTCACCCTCCGGAGAACAAATACATGAGCAAAGCACACAAAGAATTGTACTCGTGTGTGCGTCTGTTCCACAATCCTTTTGTTTCTGTAAGGAAATTATTGCAGTCCCTTTTTTCTTGTTTCATATTACAGTGAGTTTAAACAGAGGTGGAATATAGGAAGGAGTGAGAGACAATAGCAGCACACTGCAGCTGCAGCAGAAGTGTGTGTGGACCACACGCTGGGGTAGTTGCATGTGTGTGTTGGGGTAAGTGGGTGGGTAGGTGGTAGGCTGCACAAATCGGCTGTTGCTTTGCCTCAGTCTTCCTGTTCCTCCGCTAATGAGAGAACCTGCAATTGTAGACTGTGTCACTAACACACACACACACACACACACACACACACACACACACACACACACACACACACACACACACACACAGGCTGCAGGCCAGTGCAGTTTGTGCGTGTCCCAGTGTGTTCTCTAATGAGCGCTGCTGTTAGCACATTAAAGAGACAGGCTTCAGAGCCCTCCCTGTGTGTGATGTGTGTGTGCAACGTGAAAGTATGATTTTGTTCTGATTAAAGTCAGTATGTGTGCTCACATTGTCTCTTCTCACAAGAAGATAACGTTTTTGCATTCTAGTATACAGAACTAGTGCATGTTCTTTCTCTGTGTGTGTGTGCGAACGTACGGTCTGCCTTATGAGAACGCTAACACAAACCAAGTTCTACAATGTCTGGCTTTTTGAGATTTCTTCAAACAACGGAGCCTTTTCTAAGAAATGTAACTGTTTAAGCATTTGCTATAGAGGCTCACTTCCTGTCTATTGGATACGCAGAGGAAAGTGTTTGCTAACAAGTCAGCCTTAACAGCTTTCAAATGAAACAACATTATTGCAGTTTAAACGCATGAAAAAAAACAATTTTCTCACAGAGAATATATACAATATTACTTTATTTTCTTGGCCGCTCCTTTAAAGATGTGTGATGCTCCGCCTCTATGACTAACTATGTTATATATCATTTGTGTATATTTGATTCATAAATAAGAATAAGATGAAACAGGCAGAGTGCCATATGTGCCTACAGCCCATCTCCAGACTTTGCCATGACATTTTCTTTCCAGTTTCCAGTGAAAGAAAGTGTGTTTGCCTTTTATGCCTTCACTCATGTTGTCCTTTCATTTGTGGTTAAATTCAGAGAAAATATTATCATAAGAAATGGCCACACGTATGAATTACAACACGTTATATTTCTCATACCCAAGCCTCATACCTTTCATTTCTGATTCACTGCAAATTATTCTCATTTGTTCTTCATTTCATTTTCAACACTTCCCCTTGTTCATCTGTGTAATCAGTTTTTTCCAGCAACAGATGGTGTGCACTGTTATGAATGGACCCCAACTTGCAGAAAAGCTCTATTTTTCTCTGTGCAGTGTCATCCAGCTCTCTGTTTCCATCTTCTTGAATAATTTCCTGTTTTCTCGCCACTGTCACTCCTAACACTCTGAAATGTCCTTTATTTCTTTTTTTTCCATTTCTCCCTTGTCTCTTTCTTTGTCCTAGCCCTCCTTCTCCGCCTCCACAACACCATGTCACGTTGGTTTCTGTTATTGACAGCATAATAATTATAATTGTCCCACTCTTTTTTTCTTGATGCAGATTTTTATTTAATTGACTTTAGGAGACATTCAATATTTAGCAGTGACATCAAGTAAATGGTATTTCTCATTTCCATTTGTGTCTTTTTCTCCTCACTTCTCTCTGTATTTTCCCTTCCCTTCCTATCCACCTCTACCGCTCTGCAGCAGTACTTTAATCTCCTCATTATAACAGACGGCGTCATCAGCGATATGGACGAGACGCGCGACGCCATCATACAGGCGTCTAAACTACCCATGTCCATCATCATCATTGGCGTGGGCAACGCAGACTTCGCTGCCATGGAGTTCTTAGACGGAGACGCCAGTGTCTTAAGGTCCAGCACAGGAGAGGAGGCTGTTCGGGACATCGTGCAGTTTGTCCCTTTCAGGGATTTTCGAAATGTAAGTGAAAAATTTGAGAAATGACACGGAACCTGTAAAAATAACAAATAGAATAATAATAATAATAGATTTATTTTGTTAGCGCTTTTACAGGTGCTCAAAGTCACTTTACAGAGATAGTGAAAAGAAAAGGACAACAAATAAATATAGTTAAAGTGCTTCAAGTTGTAGTTTACGTGTACTATAACAGAAACAATGCAAATCTAGATTGGTGTCAAGTCATTGACTTCAAAATGATTTACTTTACAGAAGTAGAAAGGAGTTCAGGTCGAAGTATCCTGGTTTCGCAGGATGAATGCACACAATTATTTATAAAGTTGCAATAGCATAGCAGGGCGCTATACATTTACTTTTATATGAATACAATGTTAAATCCCCTGAAAACTTTTAAAACTACAATGTTTTAAAGACAGAGACTCAAATTAAGTATTAAAATATACATTAAGAGTTGATTAAAAACCTCTTAACAGTTATCAGATAAAACAAACTCAGAAAACATAAGCTGATAGCTCTCAGCCTCTACATGCTGAGTACATCAGAGAAACTTTGATTTCTGACAATAGCTTATATTTTTCAGTGAGTTTACCAACCTTAGAAATGTAAGTAGCATCACATTACTGACGAAAGACCTTATGAAAAAAATAGGTTTGGTTTATTTTATCCTGTGATTTTTTTCAATAAAAGCCCTAGATGTGAAAATGTGCTTTATCATTTACTAAATGTAATATTAATGCCACAGTGTAAAGTATACAATGTACCTTACAACGGGCTATAGGCATTAACTTAAGCAAGATCCTCAGCATATAACTTATAAAAGACCATTGTTAGCAGCCTGCTGAGCACCAAACTACAAATGGACAAAGTTAGCAAGCTGGCAAATATAATGGAACATGTAGCAGCTACAATTAGATACATTTCCTCAGGAGTTGGTAGAAACCAAAAACAGAGCTAAAAGATGAGGAAATATTAGATTAACATTTATCAGGTGGCCAAAAACAATGCACCAAATAACTGTTAATGTTTCTCCTAATCTGGTGAATATGTAAATAGGCAACTGTTGGCTAACAAGTTTACCATATTAACTTAAAACATTGTTTTCTCTCCTGCCTCCTAGTGGCCAAACAGTATGCTTTGCTCATTATACAGTTTTGCCATTTTGTACCACAAAAAAAAGCTATAATAATAACATAGAATACTTGAGAGTATTTCATGTCAGTAAAATACTTTAGTAAATGGAATGTGTGTAAAGTCCTTAGTATGTTGAAACACACATTTTAAAACTTAAATTCACTATAATGTATTGACAAGGACGGAGTGATGGATTAAATACTTTCTCTCATCATTTGCCAAAATGCAACTATCTCAGAAACAGATCAAGTGTATTGCCAGGTACGTTTACTCATGAAATGAATTTGATTTGGTGTATGGTGCATAAACCCAACAGAAGGAAAAAGGTTGTAAGACAACATCAAACATAGAACAATTATAAAAGAAAATATAACAAGAACATTTATATTAAAGACAATAAAGGCAAATATTTATTTGACTTCCTGTTGAGATTTGCTCTGTCACTTTGACTCCATCGTAGCTATGCGGTAGAAACTTTACCTTATGACGTGATGTCATGCTGTCTAATTGTGAATTTGGAACCAAATGGCAGCCTGTTGCTACTCAGATGGAAGCTGTGCAAACACTACACACAGCATCTGTTAGAAGTGGAGAGTTGCCTGTTATCTTAGTCTCCACAGTGTGTTGATGAGCATTCATACACAAAGGTTAAGTGTGTGTTGTAGATGAGCACATTGGTTTTTAGTGCATACACATTTAGGCAGTGCATGCTGCTGCGCAGAGGACATACTTTGTGCATTTTGATTGATTTTTCTATATTTTTATGTGTGGGCTGGTGGTGGGCGAGCTGGCTTCCTCTGTAGTGGGAGGAACATGGTGTTTGCTGGCTCAGTTCCAGTGTATCAGTGGGAGGGTGAGAGACAGCAACAGACACAATAGAAAAGTAAAGGGAGAAATAAAGCTGAGGCATGGAGGAAGCATAATAACCAGAGTGACCTTAAGTAAACCTACGTTGGCAGGCTAGCTTTAACTATCAAATATTATCTACATAGAGTACGTGTTGATACTGCGATAGTTAGTAGCTGTTGTTCGAATGATATTCATTGTCTTCAAAAATGACGACACAATAAGAACAAATCACAACAAGGTTGCGTTTGTGGAACAGAAAACAGATGAAGCCATGCTTCAAAATTATCTTTTCAATTGTTGACTTATTAGAGAGGATTTCGTATATATCTTTGTATTACACCATAAACGGTGATAAAATAATCAGGCATAACATGTTTTATAAATCATGCTAAGTATGATATATGAACACATAAATCAGTAGAAACCTAGAGAATATATATGGTCATGAATCTGGAAAGTTTGTCATTTATAAGTTCTGCTGAAGATTTTGAATTCTGGTATGAAACTTACTTTATGATATATATATTCCGAAATGCCATGCATTTTGCAAGAGACTTCACCATGAAACTCTCCTTAATTGACACGTTTATTTTTGTATAAGAAATGTGCTGAGATGTCATGTTTAAATATGCAAATGAGGCATGTGTGAGGAAGCGCACACACTCCCTCACTAACATGTTGGTCTTAACTATTTGTTTGTTAAGAAAGGTAGTACATGTTTTTTCAGAGTTGTCTTTATTTCAGTTAAAGTTATAAAATGTAGACAACAGTGTTTAATTTTGTATTTAACCCTTCACTCCGCTTTCAGAACCATGACGTGATTGGCCAGGTTGGAGTGGGAAGGCGGGCAATGTCCTATAAATGTGGTTGGGAAGAGAGGGGAAGGGGGCATTTTGTGTTAGTTCCTTGCTGGTGAATGCAGCACCAGACATGCAGTTTGTGTTTCTGGGGAATAATGATGAAGGCTAAGAATAAAACGCCTGTTTATTTTTTGCAAGAAAACCCTCTCTCCACGTATCGTTCTTTCACCTGCACCTCACATCGTAACAGCATGATTTAATGGTAATTTTAGGGGAAATCAGGGGAAATGTACAGAAACAAATAGACAAAGTTAATACGTGTTTTTTCTCTTAATCTCTGAAATAAGAAAAGTTGTTGAATAGTGTTCTAGGATGGTGGGAGCAATTATTTTGTGGGTCCAGAGAAAAAAAGACCAAAAGTAGATAAATATATGCGGAAAAGAAAAGTCCTTCAAATCCACCAGTATTCTTGTCTTTTTCAGCCTTCATTTTTTATTTACTAATGTGCCCTTGTTTTTTCTCTCTTGCAGGCACCAAAGGAGACCCTCGCCAAGTCTGTCCTGGCCGAGCTGCCTCAGCAGGTCACCCAGTACTTTAAACAGCGGAATGTTCCGCCTGCCAACTCAGCACCAAAGTGAGGCGGCCCAAAAGACGAGAGCCCACACGCTGTACAAAGCTCAACAAAACCTCTCTTCTCATTAATGGCAAACAATACAGAAAGAAAGTGTGTACATCAGCTGATAACAAAATGAGTTGTGGATAAAAAAAATCAAACATTGAAGACATCTCTGCCATTATGAAATTGTTACTGGTTTAGGAATGTTTGGTCCTGTGAATCCATCAGAAGTGATTTTCCTTGTTTCCTTACCCTTTCCCACACATGATGATAATGCGTTAGGGACCTTGCATGTCTGCAGTGATGGCAGGAGTCTCCAAATGATATGGATATATTTAAATATGCAGGTGAAGTTGGCCTATTTTGGGGGGAAATAGAAAGAATCTTGATTTGTCAGGATGTAGGTTATTTGGGTTTTTTGCATGTGTGTGTCTTGTGATTGATGCCACGTGATACCTACAACTCCTTGGTGTAGAGTCCCTTCTAAGCTGAAATACATCAGTGTTTGAGTCCCCTCATGCTCTGTAGGAGCCCCTTTACGGTAGCGAGTCAAAGGCATGTGCTTTTGTGATCACATGTGGCCGACTCACAGACTGAGCCTGAACAGAGCACTATTTCTTCAGTAGGAGGTTTTTATTATAACGTTTTGATCAGCAGTCATGTGAAAGGGGGGGTTTAATGCTCAACTATGCTAATTTGATTAAAGAAATAGAGGAGGAAGTGGCAGCTGTAGCACTAACGCAGGATGCGGGACACTGTTAAACATGGGGCCATTTTGTTAGCTTTTGCAAAATACATGTATTTTTGATGACTTCAGTTCATCCTGCATGATGCCAATATCTACTTACTGTTTACAAACTGATGCTGAGGATTACAAACGCATGCATTTTTATTTAAAATTATGTATTTATCCGATTTTGTAAATATTTAAATGAGATTCTGTTGAGAGAGATTGACATGGCACTGAGAAGGCTGTCATAGTTTGTGATTGGAAGCAGAAGAGATGTTTCTGATATGCATATGTATCGAATGTATATTTATATGATGCCGTCTATGTTCTGATAAGCCAATGTTTCTGAGCTGTTTTTATGTACTTTTTATGCAGTGCTGAGTTGTGTTCTTAAACTACTACTACTCCTGTGTGTATTTATGTGTATCTTTGAACTAAATGTGTTGCTATTTATTTTATAAAGTGTCTATGTCCACACTCAGGTTAATAAACTGAAGAAAATGGCAACGGTCCTCTGTGTCTCTGTAGATGAAAGAGTAAAGCGTTTTAAGATGTAAAATGCTTAAAAAGCCTCGTCAACTTAGATGTTTTTGTTCTGTCACAATCAGATATTTTCGTGAATGGCTGAATTCTGTGACATGATTAAAGTTGCGGCCACAAGGCATCAGGGGAAAGCATTATCTCCTTTCCTCTGTTAAAGGTCACCTATCATGCTATTTTTAGGCAATAGCATAGGTCTCAGATATATAAAAAACATGTCTATGAAGTGTTTCGCTCAAAATACCAAACGGATCACCCATTCTAGCCATGCCTCATATCCCTCTATTTCACTTCCTGTTTCAAAAGTGCTGATTTGGGGTAAAAAGTTTTTTTTTTTTTAAAGGAGGGGGCTGAGCTCATGCGGGAGATTCTACCGGCAGATTCTGCCGTGATGAAACGCCATATCAAGGATTACAAGGATTATTTCTGAAACAGTATGGAGCTCAAAGGCTTTCTCTCTTGCCGGTTATACCATTTTTATTTTTTTTATTCATTTATTTAACAGGGACAGTGCACATTAATGAACATTTCTGTAAATGTGCCAGAGTTAGCCAAGAGGCTATTTTTCATCTGTAGTCCCTGGACAGATTTTAAAAGTCAACCAAGGTGAGTTCCTTTTTATTTCCTGCTTCTTCACACATGCTCTGTGCAGTACAGGTTAGCTCTGACTGAGTGTTAGCGATGCTAATGTGAACATGCACCGACCATATTACGTACAAAACAGTCGGGCATTGTTTCTGATAGTGTTATGACCTGGCTCAAAAGGCCACAACAAAGAGGAGACACACCATATCAACGGTTAACAAAATATGTTTATTCAAACAAACAATTCAAATCATCCAAATGAATTAAGTGCAAAGTAAGTAAAGCATGAGGTGTGGACGTCAGTGGTATCAGTAGTGTAAATGCAGGGTGAGGGTTGCATGGACATGTATGTGTGTGAGGGTGTGGAGGTGCACAAAGTGAAACAACTGAAGTAACTATAGCATACTCAACAGAACCGGGTGCCTGAAGGAAAAAGCAGAGAGAGAACAGAGAGGAGCAAAGAGGCTTTAATTAGCTGCAGGGCACCAGACCCAGGTGCCCTGAGTTACTGCAATCAAAGCGGCTGGATGCAGCACAGCCACACCCTCTCCGGATGAACCCACAGGGGCATCACAGATAGCAACGTTTCTGATAGGGCCGTGGGTGTAACGCCAGCCTACATTTCTGATATTACGTCATATCGGACGCAAATCTGAATCAGCTCCGTTGTAGCCCTGTTTTTAGAGATGTGTGTACGGAGGAAAAGAGAGAGGGTTTTATTTTCGGACGCTGCGTGAGTTCCCCGACACACCGGGGACACATATTTATGTATAAAATGCATCAAAAAGTGCATTTTGCATGATAGGTCCCCTTCAAAGGATGGTCCAGTGTATGCTAAGCTAAGGGAGATAATAAAGGAAAACTAAAGCTTCTTTCCTATGATCTAGAAAATTCAAACAGCTCCTACCATGGAAAGGAAATTATGAAAAAAAGTCATACAGTAGGATGATTATACAAAGAATGTCAAAAAATATCAGGAGAACAGTCATAGAATAGCATGATGAAAAATAAAACAAAAGTAATGTGTAGAAAATTAAGAAAAAATATATGTTGAAAATATGAAAGCTATATTAGTGTTGAAAGTAGTCATAATATAGTATGTTGAAAATACCATCCAAAAGGTAATAGTATAGTAATGCCAAAATAGGAAAACCAATCATAGTAGCCTATAAGTTGAAAATACAATTAAAGATCTAATGGTTGGCTTTGTACATTATGTCAAAAAATATCATAACATATTATCATAGTATAGTGTCAAAAGATATTATGAAAAAGATCTTAGTAAAATATGTCCCAACATTATGTCGTAAAAGGTCAAAGTAGTATGTTGAAAATATCATAAAAAAGCCATAAAATTATGTCGAAAATATCCCTCGGTTAAAGACAGAAACCCACGGCTGTCTTGATGTCAGTGAGCTGTTCTCAGACAAAGTGAAACGCTTGTTACTGGCCTTGAACACCAGATAACATTCTCTTCCAGTCTCATGAGTGTTTCCAAAGGCTTTCAGTCTATCTTACCTTGAGCAGCAACACACTCCCACACACACATTTTTTTCCATTTAAGAGAATTACAAACATTGCGCTGCTTAGGTTGGTTCAATGCCACTGACAGACTTCAGTTTATTTTGATTTCTCACCTTGACTGCCATACTGGTTTTCTCTCAATTTATCAGCCATCTGAACTCAGCTTCAGATGCCCAATTCTCCTGCCAAGGTTTTAATTAGTACTGAATGCACGTTTGAGAATCCAATTACCCAAATTAGTTTTGATATAGTCCAATTTCACACGTAAATGTTATGGCCCATGTAAGGCTGGCGCTGAATCAAATGTAGATCTTTTAGCCCCCAACAACCTGCCAGAGCCGGGTTTTAAGCATTCATTTTACATTTCTCTCATTCCTTCTCATCACTTCTTCATATGGTGTAAGTTTGCCTATAGGAAAGGGCAACATTAATGCGGAATATACTATTTTCAATCCATAAATGGTCACTGGTACCAAAGTAATGTTGCCCTTGTTATTCCTACACTTTTCCTCTTTCACACAGACACACTCAAATACACAAAGTAAACAGAGTGGGGAAGCTCTTTATTTCTCTCTGCTCAGAGTTTGAGAAACACAGCAAAACTCTGAGATGGCAGCAAACAGTCCAGCATCTTTCCAGCACAATGCCACATGAAAAAAAAACTACTGATTAGAAAACACATGACATCACACAAATAAAACATTTTAAATATTCAGACTTTTGCATTTAACTCCAAACGCAGCAGGGAAGCTTGTCCTGCCCTGGCCTCCACTGCTTCTGATAGCTAAACAGGTCCGAGTCATTAGACACAGTCTAAAGCAGCCTCCTCCTTGCTCCACAGCTGTCAATCACTGTTCCCCAGCATCACAGCTTGCAGTCGCTGTGGCTTGGGTTGGGAGTAGGGTTGGGTGTAGGGGGGCAGGATGTCGTCGGGGTAGGCAGTGCGGGATTGGTTGCTCGGTTTAAACTGCGTGAGATGTGATTGAGGGAAGGAAGGGTAGAGGTATCAAGTTTGAGTGCCACAAAAACCACAAATAGATACACAGATTAAGTTAAAAGGACAATGTAAATTGGATTGAATATTACTGTTGTTCAGGATTAAATGACTTCGCAGAAAACAGTTCAATTTACAGCTGTGGAAACAATAGGAATACTGAAATGTTTGCAAGGCGTGTGTGTGTGTGTGTGTGTGTGTGTGTGTGTGTGTGTGTGTGTGTGTGTGTGTGTGTGTGTGTGTGTGTGTGTGTGTGTGTGTGTATGTGTGTATGTGTGTATTCATATGGTCTGTCTCTTTGTGTGCATATCCTTTTCGGTTTTTACCCATTTTGATGGTATGCAAACTTACTCAGCCTGTGTATGTGTGTTTGTATGCTGGTGTGTGTCTATCTTTAGGCCCTTCTGTGCCGGGGCTACAGCAACATAATTGCGTCCACGCTACCTTCGCTGTCCGAGCTGCTGTCAGAGTCGCTGCTGCCGGAATAAACGCAGAGTCCTGGAAGAACACCAACGCACACGGCCGCTGACGGCAGGTGCAACACGCCTCGCTCAGAGCTCAGGGGGGCCGAGGTGGTCTTAGCCATCAGGGCAGTTTGTTGAACTTCAGCTCGCTCTGCTCCTCCTGCTCCATCCTTCTGTTCTGAACAGCACAACATACTGTTAGATTCAGAGCTGAGGCCATTTTTTTAAAAGGCCAGAGATGACAGTAAACACAAAGGGATCAGGTTTCCAAAAAAGCATCTAATAAACAAATGGGAAAACAGTAATATTATATATAAACCGTGAATCTTAGGCTACATTGGGTTGTTCTTTGCAAACTAGGTTTCAAGGAAATTAAATATAGAAATAATTTTATTTTGCTCATTAGAAGTCTAACCTGGGCTTCGTTGGTTGAACTGGTAGTACCAAGTATCAAACTCATGTTCATTACATGGTAAGGCCAGCCCTTGCTTTCCAGTAGCCTCAGGTTTACATGCAAGTTTTTAAGGTTTCCATTACAGCAAACCACTTCTACTATCTGAAGAAGGTCAGTCGTCAATTCAATCAGACCAGGGAGCCATATACGAGTTTATGTTTTTCTGGTCTGATAGTTCTATCACCTAGTCATTCCATGAATTGCAGCGAACAACTCAATTTCTGTGTGTTAGACAGACATTCATCCTTTTAAGCCTCAGGCTGCAGCCCACCTGTCTGTCTGTCTCCATTTCCTGTCGCTCCCGTTTTTGTGATTTCCACCTTCTGTTTCTTGCTGCTGTCTGACGACTGGGAGGAACTGCGGAGGAGAACAGAGATATTTTGAGGTTATTTGTTTATTCAAATAATGGGTCAAATGACCGAGAGCAAATTAATTTGAGAAAAGAAACTTGAAGATTCAGTCTTAACACAAACAGAGCTCAATGTTCACTTAATTAGCTATTCATCAAGCGTTTAGAGGGTTGACCTGGGATTTAACTGAAAGCTTTGGTAATATTTATGTAAATACCTTTTGAAATCATTTCAAATTTCTCTTTGGGGATGTTTTTTACGACAACAAATATAGGGTTTATAAAAGGTCAGTGAGTTTAAACAGCTTCCCGGATGCCAAACCTAATCGTCCAATTAGGAGAATGTATACTTTGTGCTTACCTGCGTCTCTTTACAGCTCCAGCCAATAAATGGGCCTGAGACAGGTGGCTGGTCCTTTGCTCTGCTTTAGATGGCAACTTCTTTTCAGGCTCTCTGCGGGTTTCTGTGGTCGCATGCTTAACTATAGCACTGTGACAGCCCTGAGTTAAGGTAATAAACAATAATAGTCTTGTAGAGAGAACACAAAGTAGAATGGGGCAACTACAAACACATGACTATGGGCTGAATACCAGTACCCTTGAACTGATATCAAAACCATATATCATTTTTTTGTCTAGATCTGAGTACAATAAAGAATCGAACACAGGTATCGATTGATAAAACGACTTTGCACTAGGACTCAGTGGTTCCCAAACGCTTTCTGTCAGGCCCCCTCCTTTGCAGAAAAAAAAAAGTCGGGCCCCCACAACACAAGTCAGGCTCAGTGGTGGNTATATGTAATATGTTGTCAATTATATTAGGGTGACCATATTTTGATTTCCAAAAAAGAGGACATGCTGCCCCCAGCCTCGAGATACTTAATGATACTCAACGTTTTGAGTATCATTAAGTATCTCGAGGCTGGGGGCAGCATGTCCTCTTTTTTGGAAATCAAAATATGGTCACCCTAATATAATTGACAACATATTACATATACCGGTAACTGTGTGCATACACAATACAAAAGATGGCGGCAAATGCAACACCTTTCAATAGCACATACAACTTGGCTATTAACACTGTATTTCAATCATGAGACTCCTTAATTACCACAATATCATTGATAAGATAATGTAATTGACAACATAGCAGAACCCTCACAGAATTATTTAACTAAAATATAAAGACAACCTATTACATATAACTGTGTTCATACACAAAACACAAGATGGCGGCAAGCGCCTGCTACGCAGTGTTTATTTATGTAACCATGTAAACATTACCACACACATTCTTGGCTATCACAAACATCAGCCCAAGCTGATAAAACCTAATAATAACACACTCAATATTTCACACAACCGCTTTAAAACACTCCTTACACATGTTATGTTATAGTTTGGCCCAATTTGCTATGTTTTTGTACTATCTAAATACATAAAAGGGAAGAATTTTGACAAGAGTCAAAGTTAGGTTTCATTCTCCGGTACTTTAATCGAGTGAGGAAAGTGCCGCGAAACCCCCCAGATATGTGGGCGGAGACAAGAGCAATCGATCTCCGTCTCCCAGATCAAGGCCATCTAGTCGAACAGATCACACGTCTCCAAAACGAACACAAACAAGCGCAGACAGAATACCTTCTCATCCTTTCCAAACATCCTACAATTAAACTACATTAACAAAGGTCAAAGGTAACAGTTAAAATACTCTCAGTTACGAAAACAATCTATAACAGTAGCAGTGGGAGAAGGCTGCAGTATGAGCGTTGGAAGCTCAAATCAAGCGACTCGCTGGCTGTGTATTTGTTGTTAAATATCAGATAAACTACAACGCATACGGGACTGGCTAGGCGGCGTGTGTGGTGGGGTGGCCAACAAATATATCAGGGTGGCCATGGCCCCCCCTGCTGGCGCCACTGAGTGAATCATAAGGCATTTGTAAAACTTGTTTAGTTTGTTTGTGGAGTTATGGTAGGAAAGTAGCTCCATAATTAAGTTTCAGTTCTTGACCTCTAAAGCAAAACATTTAGACACTATTATCGTAGATAGTGATGGAGATGGCCGGGTGGATTGCTCAGCAGCCAAATCCGTTTTCTGCAGAGCTTGTTTGAGGAACACGTTATCGCCGAAGGAGGGCAGCAGTTCGCTGAACTGCTCACTGAAGACAACTAGCATGAAGAAGGAAGAGGAGGGAGCTAAAGTGATTGAGGGAGGATTACTCAAACGGAAAAAAAACTGACTTTGCCGAAAGTATTTGTCTTTAGCTGACCTTCCACTGCTGGCAATGATGTGCTTTGGGAAAGCCCTACCCACTCAATAACCAGAAGCATCACGGGCACAAAACTAAAAGCAGGTTAGTAACAAGGCCACCGGATAAGTTAGGTAGTTGCTAAACGTTTACAAACCGTTTTGAGATTGGCGTAAATTTGCGTTGTAACTTTTTTCCGATCTCCATAATTATCGTCACGTTCGTGAGTTGTTGTGTGTTAACGCTATTACGTGTATTAACGTGTGGGAGAATCTGCACTAAGATTAATTAAAGTTGTGTCTCTAGCACATCGTTAACAATAAAATGCCATTCTACCGATGTAGGAGTAAACGTTATCTCTCAGGAACATGGTTACCGCGGCAAAGTGAGTTTCAGGTTGATAATTCGACATACATTCACTTTGGATCCAGAGGCGTCTTCCTCCATCCCTCAGACTCACATCTGAGACCTCGTGGTTATCCTCAGGGTTTCAGTTAGGGACCATCAATAAATGACCGTCCAAATGACACAATACGAATGCTATTTTCAATACCTCCTTCCTAACTTGCCCAAATTAGTGAACATGATGGTAAAACAACCACGATTAATTTTTCATCATGTGTTAAACATTTATATTACTGATTTGTCATGCATTTTTTCCCACATATTTGAAAGAAAAAATGTTTTTCACAAATCTATTCAGCATTGTATTACTGGACAGACACACATGTTTTCATTGTATTTGACTGCTTATTCTATTTTATATTCATTGATATGACCAATACTGTATCTCGCAGAATATTTCTAGAAAGTACAATTAATATTACATTATTTTTCATATACTTGCTGCTTATGCTATTTTCTGTGTTGTTAAAATGCTCTTTAAAGTTGAAGAATCCATCATTATTGTGTAAGGCAGGCAAAGTAAAATATTGCGCAAGAAGTCACGTTGGCATTGGTGAGGAATAACAACAAATGGAGAGCAGACCAAACAAACAAACAAACAAACCAGAGGGAGCTACAAGTAATTGAGAGAGGGTAGCTTACAAGGAAAATAACACTGACTTTGTTGACAGGATTTGTGCTTAACTGACCTTACACTGCAATAATGTGCTTTCAGAAATACCTACCTGGCCTATGAAAATTAAGCAGTTCCTTTTATTGAAGAGTCTCATTCCTGTTAAATAGCTTACATGTCAACTAATGACTCCAATTCAATGCTACATTGTATAAATAGAATGGACAATCAGACACAACAAATATGTCACAGAATTACTGCTGCATGTGTACGACCCCTAAGGATACACTGATGGACCAGAGGCCTGTACTACGAAGCCGGATTTTCGCTTAGCGGGTTAACTTCAGGGAAAACTTGGGGTTTACGACGCTGGTTCTCTTTTTAGCGGGCTAGATCTCCATGGTAACTTATGCTGAGCGGCCAACCTGAGGCCTGTTCTACGAAGCAGGATTTTTGCTTAGCGGGCTAAGTTCAGGGAAAGGGTTTCCGGTCCTACAACGCTTGTTCTCTTTTTAGCGGGCTAGATCTCCATGGTAACTTATGCTGACCTGCTTCGGAGCAAAAAAAAAATGAATTGAATATCACCTCCCATCTTCAGAGCAATCTGACTATTATAACATTAGCGTTAAGAAATTATCATTATCATTCATATCACATCATAATGTATCATATGTCCTTATCTGAGTCAGCTGAGCCGTATCTGGCGGTGCAACACTCTTACAGTGTCACATACTGTATGCAGAAGTATTATTTTAAGCAACACATTAAGTTGACGAAACACTCGCGTCAAATGTAATTAAAGTCAGATCGTGTCTTAGACGGGACAGTGATATCATAAACCTGTTAATGTACGCATTCAAACACTTTTTCTTTTGCCAGCTGTATTCACCTTGCAGGTGCAGCTATGTGGCTTTTATCCTGGATAAAGTGTTTAAGTCATGGATGTTTAAAGTTTAACTTCTTCATATGTCTAATATTAAAGTTCACTTTTCATTCAGCATGTATGACGCTGCGCTGTCAGTACGCTTCTCCATGTTTGTGATTGGTCGAAAGCTCCAAATACGACCCCTTTCTGTGAACGCGCACCTAACTAGATAGGACACGGCTGGCTTGAGCGATCCAATTGATAACCCGCGTCGTAGGACCGTTTAGCGAGAGTGCGTATGTTTTGGATTAGGCCAACCGGCTAACTCAAACATATCCAGGTTATGTTGAACCGGCTTCGTAGTACAGGCCTCTGGAGTGAATGTCTGTCAAACTTTACTTAACTTAAGTGCAGGCAATATTTGATATTGTTTCATTTACTAAAGGTTGGTAATGTTAGATTTGTCATTTTTACTTTTATATTAAGTTATTTTTTATATTTAACTCTTGTGCCCTTGTTTCCTATTTCATTTTGCAGACGCTTGTTGCATTTCTCGCAATGGGAAGCCTGACAACAGCAGCTATGGTAAGCAGAGCAGTTTTGAGCCGAGGCATCACTGCTCACCACCTCAGTAAGAATGTCACTTTTTATGTGAATGAATTAGAATCTCCAGTGTCTGGATGTCAGAACAAAGCCTCTGAAGACCATAAACCTCTTATGCTCATGCTGCCGTGGATGGGCGCACGTCCGCAGGCTATGGCCAAATATTGTGAAATCTACTTCCGTACCGGCTTTGATGTGCTTGTTGTGGAGAGTGAGGTAAGTAAATACACATTTAGAAAATTATCTAAAAAAATCATTCATACACAACAAAGAGGAAATTAAACCCAGTAACAGCTTTGTATTACAAGCATGTACAGCTGTAGTTATATGTTTACAATAATTGAATTGAATTAATGTTATAAATGACTAAAGATTAAATGTTAACAGCATAAAAACTACTGTTTTGAAAGGACATATCATTGTGATATTTAAAATACATCAGAATGGAGATGTGTATGGTGTGTCTTTTGTCTCTCCAACAAGTCAAAACAAAAATATAATTAACTGATACCTGTGAAAGATTAAAAAAAAAGGTTATCATTAACCTCAGAGATATGAGTTAAGCAAAATATGGTAGATATATGGTATGGATTTTTTCTCAAATCTGATCTTGGGGTCATGACTGTTTACACTCATGTTAGATATCACCAGTGAGGGAAAGGTTTGTGGTCGGTAAGGACCCCAATGCACTCATTGCAACAAAACATGAGACTCATGCCTCCAGTGGTGCAAAGGTTCATTTCATGTTAAACAGGTTGTAAATTAATGTCATACGAGTGCATGCAGTGTTATGTATCCAAGACTTACTGCGTGCCAGCATTTGGCACTGTTGTACAGGTGTGGTGACTAACCACAATATATAACAATGAGCCAACAAAGGGAGGTAAGAAAGAGAGCGCACTCTAGTAAGTATGTATTTTGGCAATTCAGGTAACACATTAAAAAACTGGAATTGCTCATTTGTATTGTATAAATGGGTTATAGCAAGAAACACTAAGGGTTAATCTCGCTCGGCTACAAGAAAGCTCCACAGTGATCTGTACCAGAAAGATGGTTAAGTGCTGTGAACCTCTATTGCTATTCCTTTACAAACACTGAGACTCTGCATCTCCTGCCATTCCCAAAATAGCTGTCAGACATGCCATATCATTCCCACATTTAAACAGTCAATATCAAATGGCATATTTGAGCTCATTCATTTATTTCTGATTGTTTTACTCAAGGTGCATGAGTTCCTGTGGCCTCGCTGGGGTCTGGATCATGGGAAGAGGTTGCTAGAGTTGCTCCAGACCGAACGCTTTATGTCCCGCCCACTGGTTGTCCATGCCTTCTCTATCGGTGGCTACACATTTGCTCAGCTGCTGATACATGTCTCCCAGGACATCCAGAAATATCAGGACCTTACACAGAGGATAAAAGGCCAAGTCTACGATAGTCTGGTGGTGGGCTCAGTGGAGAGGATGGCCATAGGTCAGTTCAATATTGATATGATTTAACACATTAACTACTTTCAATTATTACTCATAATGCTAAATGACACATGACACTGGCTGGATTGAAAAATCAAATGTGGATACACTTATGAATAGTGCTATTCAGTTCAAATAATACTCTTTTTTTGTCCTCTTTGCCCAGGTCTTGGTAAGACTTTATTTCCACGTTTGGAGACACTGGTAACAAAAGCAAGCATGTTATACTTTGGCATGTTCAAAAGACAGACAGTGGACTACTTTAACAAAAGCATTGATACGTTTTGGGAAACCCCTATCACCGTTCCTGCACTGTTCTTCTTTTGCGAGAACGATCCAATGAGCGACCCACGAGCCATGGAGGAGATAATTGATCGCTGGAGAAAGCGTGGGATAGACACCACAGCAAAGAAGTGGAAGGAATCAACACATGCCGGTCACCTGAAGAGGCACCAACAAGAATATCTGACCACCATAGACATGTACCTACATACACTTGGCTTTACCAAGCTAAAGGCCAAGATGTAAGATCATTTCTTTACAACACATTGCCATTTTAGAACGTATATTACGACGCCTTGACTAGAGTGCCCAGATCCTAAATTCCTAAAGAGATGTGTTAAAGATGTTGTTCATTAGTTTTTTCCAATTCAAAGCTCTTTTTAAAACGAAAATCATTACAACCAAAGTCAGTGCAATTATGTTAACCGAGAAATCTGATTTGTTTCAGGCATCAACTAAATGTTATTTACAAAGACAAAAAGTCCACTTCAGCAGTCAACTTCATTTCACTTGAGCTTCACTTTATATTTAAATGCACTCTGCTTGGTATGCTGAAGTGATTATTCAAATGTTCCAGCTGTGAAAAACAGTTATGAGTTTACAACATTCATGAAGGATTGCACAATAACCACTTTGGTGGGAGTGTGTTCCAGGGGAAACTCTGTTACACCTCCTTCTTTCTCTGTCAACGGAAATTGCTCTTTGTAGCATGAAAGAAAAGAGTATTGGTTGTAATGCTATAATCTCAGGAAGTAAACTACCTAATTGCTGCTTTGGTTGCATTTGAAAGTTTCTCACACTGGCTCTGTGACAGTGAACAAAGGGAATTGAAACCTGTTATGCAACTTTGGGAATGTTAACACTATGACGCATCTAGAATAATGACTTATGAGCTTCAGTGGTAAACCTGCATCAATGGCGGTGCCAGACAATCTACCGAAGCAGCAAGTAATAATTTCGACCTATTTAACGTTTGATAAATAAATAAAAGGCCAATGGAAGTTTTTGAACATAGAAGGAGCATTTTAAACATATTGCAAAATGTCAGTTTTATTTCAGTTAATATAATATATTGATTTTCTTTGTGTATATCTTGTTACCTTTTTATTTTATGAACAATGTTGCTACCTGTGTAGATTTCAGAAAGCTGATATAACCATACACATGAACACCATAATACATAGAGGTTATGACATAAGTTACATAACCCATAATGAGCTTCTGTGGTAAACCTGTATAAATGGCGGCCATTGAAGGTCGATGTTGGAAGAAGTGCCTCTAATGTTGTAAAGCTTTGTGTCTCAGAACTTGAACATTTTATATATTTCTGTGTGCAATAAAATTACAAGAATGTAACCGTTTTCTATTCAATGTTACTTACTGTATTGTTTATCTTTGTATACTTGTTTCTCACATACCCTTCTCATTAGTTGGGTTACTAGTAGGCCTACAGTTTATCTGTCGTTGTGCACTGGTAAGCTTTATATTTGAAATATCCATAAAATATTTCACTTCCGGAGTTTTTAGTTAACTCAATGACAGAAAAGAACTGTCCTTAAGCACAGGTGGGACAAGTACTCTGATATTGTACTTAAGTAAAAATAGAAGTACCAGAATGCAGGAATACTCTGTTACAAAAGTCCTGTAATCAAAATGTTACTCAAGTAAAACTACAAAAGTGTTGGCATCAAAATAAACTTAAAGTAACAAAAGTAAACACAATGCAAATAAGCCCATTTCCAAATAATATATTACATGTTTTGATAATGATTATTAATGCATTAATGTGTTTAACAAAGCTTGTAAAGTGGCAGCTATTGTACTTTGTATTGCAGGTTAGCTTGTCGATGTTACTCCAGGTGTAGCTAAAATCTTATTTACGACTGTTTATATTTCACATCATTAATCAAAACCTGCTAAGTAACTAAATATATTAAATCAAGTTAGTGGAGTAAAAATACACTTGGTAGTGGGGTAAAAGAACAAAGTAGCAAACATTTGAAATACTCAAGTAAAGCACAAGTCTCTCAATAAAGTACAGTTGGCTACTTGAGTAAATGTACAATCCGTGTATCTACCGTCCAATTGTTTTTCTTTATTAAACACGTAAACGGAAGAGCGTTTGAGAGGCGTTTTTGTTTTTTGCTTTTTACCTTTTTACCTTTTTACCTTACAAAAGCACTCGTTTGCTAAAATCACACTTTGAATCACTACAGTGTCCTGCTGAAGGAACGGTGGGAATTTAGCGATTACAACGAAAACGGTCAAGACACATATTGAGCCCATAAAATGGATGCTATTAAGGGCTGTAAATATAATAAGCCTCTGTCTAAAATGGACAACATTGTTAGGAGATTTAAACTATAGGCCTACAGCGGTTCTGCACTGCGGTCACTCAGCTGCCTCTCGAGTTTGTTACTGCCAAGGCACAC